CCACCGAAGGCCCGCCCCGGTGGCGCAGTCCGCATGCGGTTCCCCCTATCCAAGGCAGCGCTTCGTGGCCCCATATGGAGCCCCACCGAAAGCGGCACCCACAACGCGTTACCAACAATTGCTTATGGTTGGGTCTTTCGCCAGGATTTGTTGTTGCCGTGGCTACCGATTCGTCCGTGCCTCCGCGCCCCCCCCTCGTCGCCGAGATGTCCGTTCGGGCCCTTCGCCCGCCCCGCGCGTTTCCTGAATTATGACGGGCGCCCCGCCCTTGGGAGGGGGGCTTCTCTTCGGGGGAGTGGAGTGCCAGGGCCTTTGGGGATGCGGAAGTTCGGAGTTGGACAAACCAGCGAGCACATTTGATCGTTGCATTCCTGGGAAGCACGAATCCCCCAGGAAGGTTAAATTCCAGCGCGATCGAGCTGTCTGAGAAAATTATGTAATCTGTAGTTTTTTCTGTAATCTGTATTGTTTTCTGTATTCTGTAGTTGATGAAAACCAATATAAACACATATATATATATATATATATATATGGTTTTCATGGATATTTGAAGCATATCAAAATACAGAAAAAAACTACAGAATACAGAAAACACAACAGAAACCGCAACGACTGGGAGGGGGGGATTTTTTTTTGGAAGTTCGGGCCAACGGACGCAGCGGTGGCAGAGATGCCAGAAACCGGCTCCTCCGTGGCGTAGCTGTTTTGGCTCGAGTTCTGCCGAAACAGTTCTCGATCTCGCTTGCTCCACTGAGCGAGCAGTCAGACTCATGCCGCGCTCGGGCGCTGATGACGGCTTGCCCGCAGCGATGGCAGATAGCGAGTCGCCCGCCAGTGCCCGCAAAAGGCCGGCTGCCACGGCCATTGCGTGCCCGCCAAAAAGAACGAAGCAGGACGACGACAGCAGCGACGCTCCGCTGGCAGCCAAGCCACAACCCAAGGGAAAAGCAAAGGCAAAAGCAAAGGGCCAGGCGCCGAAGCCCGCCAAGGGCAAGGCAATGGCTGCGCCAGTCGAGCCACCTGCAGACGAGGAGAGGGCCGCGCCCAAGGCCAAGGCGAAGGCCCTGCTCGTGGCCAAGAGCAAGGCGCCGACAGCGAGCAAGAGCATGGCTGCCCCGCCCGTCGAGCTGCACCCCGTCAAGGCCGAGATCACGGCTGGTGAGCTTAGTGAACTCGAGAAGCTCAAGGGCATGAAGGTCCCGAAGCCCGTGGTTGCGGCGAGGGACTCGCTGAAGAAAGCAGGCATCTCCAAGCTCGAGGATTTGACCGCTGACAAGCTCAAGGATGTTCTTGATGATGACTCGCTCAAGAGCCTGTTCAGCTCATTGGGAACGACTTTAAAGTCAAAGTGTCCTATGCTGCACGCTAAGTACGTGAAAGATACCACGGGCCGCGCTTCCATCGAGCGCAAGCGAGAGTGGTTGACCAAATTCATCATTGACCCAACAAGCGGAGGTTGCTCCGCAGGGCAAGACACCACCGTCGGCAGCAGGGACGAGTCGGAGAGCCTCACCGAGTGGCTGACAGAGGAGGAGCAGCTCGGAGGGCCAATGTACCTCAATTCGCCGCTGCATGCATCTATCATCGTAAAGTCTTTGGATTGCAGACCGCATCGCAACGGGTTGCTGGCGGAGGCGGGCGTGAGGGAGTACAAGTTCTCGAAGGAGATCCTCAGGGAGATCGAGTTCAAGAACAACTCGTCGAGCGTGAGTTCGAGCGTGGACGTCAACGCAGATACCTACAAGCAGATCCAGGGCGCCATGATGGGCCAGGCGATCTCCAGCGCCTTGCCCTTGTCCGACGGCGCGGCAGGGGAATCCGAGAAGGAGAAGAAGGACCGCGAGAGGAAGGAACGGGCCGCAGCCAAGGCCGAGAAGGAGAAGCAGGAGGCACAGCAGAACCCGATGAAGGCAAAGGTCGACGAGGCCAAGAAACTTCTCGACGAGCAGATCAAGAAAGCAAAAGCGTGGGCCCGAAGCGTGGACGACGAGCTGAGAGAGATCCCAGGGTACCAGCTGAAACTTCAGAGGAAGGGCTTCCCGCAGTCGATGGGCGATTACCTCGCAGAGCAGGGGAACCAGCACCGACTCAGCATGGAGAAATTCGCCAACGGCATCTACACGGAGGCAAAGTCTGTGAAGGGCCAGTCTTCGAACGACCCGCAGGTCTACACCACCATGTCCGACAAGCTCAAACATGACCTCGAGCAGGAGACTACAAAGTTCAACACATTCAAGAAATCTACGTTGGACGAGATGCGCAAGATGAAGGATTCGTCTTGAGCTGCGTGGCGCAGCGTCGAGCCCATCGCCATCTGCCTGGCCGCTAGGCGCAGCGCACGACGTGTTGCGCGCAGTTTCAAGTTCGCTTGAGCCTGGCTGGTCGGGGGGAGGTATACTGACAATGAAAACGAAAACGACCGAGCGAGGGATGGATGAGGAAAGGAAGTGATGTTCATAATGCCCCTGGCTGATTTTCTGGCACTGCCTCTGTTCCCACGGTTGCCAGAAAAAAAAACAAACAAACAAATTTGTGAGCAGAGCATTGTTTCGACACGTCCCTCAATGAAACCTTGCGGACATACTAACCATTGACATTTGATGTCTGGTAAACTCGAATGACCAACATGGCCCCAGAAGGTTACCCCCGAGGGCCTCATAGGGCACGACGGTCTCACCGCCTCCCCTTGAGGTCCACGCGTGAGGACAGAAGCCAGAAACACCTGAAGCGCCCCCTGGGGAGACGGCAGGCACCCCCAGAACATGGAACCATGGCCCCTTGGAACCCGACTCCCCCGTGAACGCGTGCAATATATCTGATCTGAGGTCTTCAGATGTCCTATGCAAGACCGCCCTGCCATCTTTCCACTTCTCGCTCCTCCAGCCCCCCCTTCCCCCCTCGTTCCCAGCCGGCTGGCCTTGCGAGCTTCTTTTTAGGCCCGAGGCTTTGCAGATCGCGCGTGGGGTTAGCGCGATCGCTGAATGGTCCTCGGCGGCATTCGCAAGAAGCTCTTCTCGGACTCAATCGGCAACAAATCCTTTGTCGGGGCGATGCCACGAGGATGATCCTTCTTTTTTGTTTGGGCCCTGGGTCCAGAATGCGGGCGGGTGGATTGGGGTTCGATGGGGGGCGACGGCGGTTGGGGCATGGGGTGAAGGGGGGGGGGGGGGCCGAAATGCTGGATGCGTTTTAAATTGGCATCGCCCCGAAGATGGATGCTGCCAGGAGGCATTCTCCGACAAGTGCGCTAGCGCCGACTGCTGCCATACAGAGCAATTCCTGAAGAGGAAGTTTGCCAAACATAGGTTCAGCGCGACTGATGTAGTTGAAGCATCGCAGGCATTTTGCAGCGATGCACCCACCGAGACGCCTCGTGTTGTCCAAGATTGGGGCTCGGTCCAGAAAGGAGGCAATGCCTATAGAGGGCTAATGAGGCGGCTGGACAAAATCGATCTCCCACCAGTTTACCAAGCGGCGTTGCCCTCATGGGACCCCCTGAGAAATCAAAAGGCCACGATGTTGACGAATTTTCTGTTACCACACGAGATGTTACACCACATGGTTCAGCCTAGTACCGTACATGAATGGTGTACGTTTGCCCCCGAGGTCAGCCCACTAAACGATGTACTGAAAGAGTGGGGCGAAACGCTCAAGCCACCTCGGGATACGACGACCGAGCTGTTTGCAAGTTTGGGGCTTTGGGGTGATAGCGCCCCGTACTCGAAGCGAGACAGCGTCTATCTTCTCACGTGGCAGGTGTTGTCAGGCAAAGATCGGCATCGACGGCATTGGTTTTGTTGTTTCCCAAAACGGTACCCTGGGAAATCGAAGCTCATCAAAACTATCATCGATGCCTCGTCCCTTCGGCCCGCGCTGCCGTCGGGGCTGTCGCAACTGGAGTCGTTGCGTCGTCGCCTGGGCAACGGGCGGGGGGTGGGAGGGCCCAAAGGGAAGAAATATATGCAATAGCGCAAGCGATCAGACGCAATCAACTTAATTACATAAGTAATTTCTGTTAACAGACAACGCTGCAAATGCAATGCAAGCAAGTGCAATCAAATCGAACTTCAGAAAACAACAAAACGACATATTACAGAACAACAGCTACAGACTACAGAAAAAAACAACAGATTACAGAAAAAACTACAGAATACAGAAACATTACAGATTACAGAAACAGACTACACATTATTCAGCGAATCGCGATGCGTGAGAACGAATGAACTGCACCGCAACTGATCCAGCAAACGCAACGCAACTCAATACATACAGTGCCCCAGCAGTGAAGCGACGGAGCGCAAAGGAGGATGCGGGGTGCGAAGCTGGCGGATGACTGGAAGTGGATGGGGTAGGACACAAGTTGCAAATAAACCACAGATCTGTACGCACGAAATGGATGCGGAAAGAATGTGCACGATGCCCAACAGCAGTTCCTGCCCGCGCAGCCGCGGCCTGTGTCCATTCGAGACAGGAGAAGGCCTGTCCAACAACGGCCGCTGTTGGTTTGGGACGACATTTGTTGTTGGGCACCGCACTCATTTTGTCCGCGCTCATTTCGGGCGCCGAAGCAATCAGCGACAGATTTGTCTGACAACACCTTCCAAGGTACGTATGCCAGTGCGGCTGCTACGGCCGTCACACTTTCGAAGAGGCGTGGCGAGTGATGGGGTGGAGCCTCCGCGCACTGGCAGATGGGCATTTTCCACGCGTGCGCCACGACCAGAATCCGTATAACAAGAGCTCGGGTGTTGGCGACAGGGATCGAATACACCAGGCGGGCTGCGTTTTGAATTGCAAGGCCGCGTGCATTCAGATAAAGGGGGACTGGGCCTGGTACAAACAAGCTTTTGGATTATCGGGGTGGAAAGGGGAAGGGGGGCACGGCCACGTATGCTGGCGATGCCCTGCCAATAACAAGACCGACTTTGATTTCCGCAGGGCTGACCGCCATGCCCCTTGGAGAGGGCACGAATATGATGATGATAAGGCCCTTTTCATGTGCATGCTTCACAGTGGGTTCAGGAGTGAGATCTTCAATTTCCCAGGCATGCGGTTCAAGTACATACTAATAGATTTGATGCACGTGGTGTGTCTAGGGATTCTCCAAAATCTCCTCGGCAATTGCTTCTGGGAGTTGCATTGCAGCTTGGGCGGTAACATGTCGCCTGATTCAACGGGGTCAAAAGGGGCTGTGAGCGTTTTGAGATCACAGATACGTTTGGGTTCAAAGTTTTTGGGCATCGACTGCCCCGTGTACGCACTAACACTTCCCATGTTCAGGGCGAGTGGCAAAGGTCCGAAGATGAAGACGAAGGCAGGTGAGGGGAGACACTTGTTGAAAGTATTGCTACACATGCTTATCACATTCTACGATCAGACATCAGAACACAACGCCATTCGTTTGAACTGCGTGCGCAGCCTTGCCGCAATATATGACCAGCTCGCCGTGTGGGATTTTGATACGTCCTACAGTGAGTGCGCAGTGCTGGCGACCAAGCATGTGCTACTGTATGCTGAGCTGTGGAGGGAAGCGGCAGAATTAGATGAGTCCACGCTCCTGTGGAAAATGATTCCAAAACATCATTTATTTATCCACTTAATGGAACACGATCGTGGGAATCCAAAGGAGGGGTGGAATTACGGTGACGAATCAGAGATTGGCGTGGCAGTCGATATGTGCACGACGCTGCATTGCAGGACCATCGCCACGGAAGCGGTGCGAAAGTACAGGGCAACTACTGTTGAGCGCTGAGAAAAATAGCTTTCGAAGGGGATTCAGAGTTTTCCGATGTCATTCGGGTAGTACTTCTTGGCGCACCCAGCCGTGGCGAGGAGGATTTCCTTGGGTACGCACGCGTATCTTGTCAGGCGACCCTATTTCCCGAGGGTGGGATTTCGAAGCGCTTCCAACCGTGGCGGCGAGAGGGCCTCAGACTAACAAAACATCCC